CCCCCCCATCTCACATACCCCTTTTCCCAGACGGACAGAGAGGCTGACACTCCACCTCCAGACTGCAACACCACAGGCGTCTACTCCGGCGTCTCCGCCGGCGGGAACGGCAACGGTGACGCCTCCAACCTGAACGCCACCTTCCTCCGCGGTCTCCAGCAGACCGACGCCGACGGCATCGCCCAGTTCGAAACCCTCTTCCCGGGTCACTACACCGGTCGCACCAACCATATCCACGTCATGGTGCACGTCGACCCGACCGTGTTCCCCAACAACACGATCCAGTCCAACACGGCCTCGCACGTCGGCCAGATCTACTTCGACCAGGACCTCATCACCGAAGTCGAGGCCGAGCCCGTCTACAACACCAACACCCAGCCGCACACCCTCAACGCCGAGGACATGCTCTTCCAGCAAGGCTCGCAGGTCGGCGACCCCGTCGTCAACTACGTCTACCTCGGCTCTGCCGTCTCCGAGGGTCTGCTCGGCTGGATCGGCTTCGGCATCAACACCACCCTCGCCCGCACCGTTTCGGCCGCCGCTACCCTCTACGAGAGCGGCGGCGTTGCTAACCCCAACGCTGGCGGCCCTGGTGGTGGTGGCCCCGGTGGCCCCCCTTCCGGTGGCTTCCCTTCTGGTTTCCCCACTGGCGGATTCCCCGGTGGTGGTGGTGGATTCCCTACCGGCGTTCGCCCTACCGCTAGCGCTTCCTCCTCTTCCTCCGCTGTCGCTGCCCCTGCTTCCAGCGCCAGCGTTTCCGCCCCGGCTTGCAAGGCCAAGGTTCCTCCTGCTAAGAACTAAGTCTGATCTTCCTCTTAAGTTCAATCTGTGGCTGGGGTGGCTCACTCAGCTACCGACCGCATAGAGAGCATAGTGTTTATATGACGCAACTATGTTGAGGAGGGCGTTGTGATGATGATGAGTGTGAAGCTCAGTAGCTATTTGACAGAAAAGTTGGATAAGAACCGATCAATCGTATGTGTACAAATCTACCCTATTATAGACTTAGTTAGCCTAAACTCAGCATATGATGCCTTGAGAACTTCTACCGTATGTACCATAATTCAAATCCATCGTCGGTTGATACTCGAAAATGCGCTGAGGTGATTGTTGGCAGGGAGCTTCAAGTTAATCCCAGAAGATGTGATCGGGAGGGGCAGCGAGCGAAGAGACCATACCGGCAGTCCTGAGGCTGTATCGAAGGTTAAACAACTTCCCTTTCCCATTACTGATCCGCTCTGATCAAGCACCTTGTTTACTCACCTCAAACACCAGGACGGAAGCCCAGCTGTGGTTGAATGCGTCTCGTCTCAATTATCATATTTATATACAAAGTGCTGAACCAAATCAGAACATGCTCGTACATCACCAGCTCTCTCTTTCCCCCGCTTGTCTTTGATATTGTCCTGACAACAAGTGTTACTAAGCCTCCATCCACCCCTGAAACTCCTGTTTGTTGATATCCAAAACTTTCCACGCCAAACCGAGCTTTGAGATAGCTAGGGATGAAAGTCCCCCTGACCCCCTACTCGAAGCTGCCGGCATCTGACTTGACTGGCCACCACTGCTACCCGTGCCACGTCCCCACTCCCAGAAGTGGCAACTGTTGTCGTTTTGCTCTGTATAACCGGCTCCAGCCCTTCCCCGGAAAGGTTGAAACCTATCAAGGGCTAGTGCTGAAATAGTAATTCTCCCAGAGATACTCATAGTCCTCCAAGATGCCACCAATCAAGCTCGGCATCCGTCTCCTCACGCCCTCCACCATAGACTTTGTGACATTCTCGTAGAACGCCCCGCGCATCATCCACCATCCCAAAGCCCAGCCTCTCCGGCTCCATTCCTCCTTCTCCAGCGGCGTCGTCCGTAGGCTGCGATCCCGCATCTGTCGAGCAAGTATCTCTATCGCCAGCCCAATCACCCAGGGGGCCCAGGCCTTGCGCTTATTCTTGCTGCGCGCCATAGCCACCGCAAAGGCCAGCGGTGACAGGATGTGCAGAATCTCAGCAACCTGCGCCGAACCTTGTAGCTGGTTGACCAGTTTCGCCGCGGGCTTGATGTCGTCGGCCGTTAGCACCCGCGACAGGAGGTAGCTGCTGATGTCGCCGGGCGAAGGTAGTGTCGGCAGCGACATGCCGGTGCGGGGCATGGTCCATTCTCCATCCTGCGCCAACTGTTGTGGCGATCCTGATGCGCTGGCATATCCGCTATCGTCTCCTTGGAAGATGGCTTCTTCGTCGGTCGGCGCTTCGGGCAGCGGTTCGCGCTCGGGGAGAACCGGGGTTATCAGCGGTCGCGATTTCGTTATCCTAAGCAGAAGAAGCTTGCAGAAGGCCTTGATGGCCTCTATTATGATGACGGCGCGCCAGCGGATGCGCTCGCCGCGGCGCTTGGCCGCCATTTCGATTAGGAGCTCGACATAGTTGACAATCTGCAGGAGATAGGCTACACGCCGGTAGAGGGGGCTCTTGAGGAACCAGAAGCGGATGTATCGTTTGTGCGGAGAGGGCGCGTTGGCGAGAGACGGCGGTTGAGATAGCTTGGAGGAAGCACGGAAGAGTAAAGTATCATGATAGAGAGAAAGGAGCTGGACGCCGCTGTGGATGGACTCGGAGGCAATCTCTGCATCACGGAAACGGCCTGTACTTGACGTTAGTGAGGGGGAATTGATGACGCGGCGGAATGCTTGCACGAACCAGGTATGATGTATGTTAGGGACCGTAGGGTCGACTCTATTTGGGAGACCTGGTGGTTATTCTTGGTGATGAAGTCACCGTACGCGCCCAGCCAATTCGTCGACATTGCGCTCTTTACTCCAGTGCCGGTAGTCGATCGTTTTGTTCCTGACATGGATTGGATGATGGGATTTGGGCTCTTGAACCTAGGGACGTCGGCGGCTGTCGACATTGAGGATTCTGAACTGTCCTTTTTCGGGGGTTGGTCTCGAGATTAGAGGCGCGACATTGACCGAGGGCCGGAACCGGAATCAAATGTCGTTATCGGGTCGCAATCGATTTGGGGCGTGATTATCGAAGAGACTAATGTCCAGCTTCGCGGGGCGAGCGGTTGGAAGCTTGTTGGATGTAATAGTCTGGGGGTTCCGATTATGGTGCGATCATGAAGTCGCTAGACTGGTATGACGAAATCGCAGTCTCGGGGTTATGCGATGGATGACTTGGATGAATCGATGGATGGACGGATGGATGGGATGCCCTGGATCGAAGATGGAGATGGCAGACAAATCCGACGGTAAAGTCGAGGCCTGTCAATCGGTCGGTTACAGAACGGTTCTCGATCCGGGTCGGGGAAGTTCGTCAGAGTGAAAGTGGACGGTAGGTCAGTGCGGTGCCGGGTTCAGGTCGCCAGGAGATGGTGGATCACCGTGGATTTGCTGGGCCTCGGCTCCTCCTGGATGCTGCAGGAAGGCGCCGTGATTGTGGGAGTTTGGAAAGTGCTGTGGCGCCTCAGGCAGCAAGGGCCACAGGGCTGCTCAGGGGTCGAGCGGATCCTTCCGGGGCGGTAATGTGGGGGACAAAGCTGGGTGCAGCTGCCAAATCTCACTGAAACCCTGAACAACATCATCATGGAAGACGTCAATGAGGCCGAAGCTATCACCGACGATACACGTCCATGCCAAAGGGGTTTTACCTACCAATCACTGACATGTACGCAAGGAAGTAATCCAATTGCACCCGTATTTCATCCGATTTCGAACAACCCGACCCGTCTCAGCTTTTACTGGGTCCCAGCTTTTTCAACAGGAAGCCAGACCTTCGACGGGACCACATAAGCTGCAAGTTAAGACCTTATATTCCCGCTGATAATCACAACCGCATCAATGTTGGAATTACTGGTGGCTATTGTTGCGCCGGAGGTCTGTGGCTGAGTGTCCGGCTTGATTGCGGAGACGTCGACTTCTGCCGATCGCCAGGACCCGGCCTTGAGTGGGGCAGCACCGACCTCCCGTCCCGGCCTCCCCCTCCCTGTCAGTCTGTCACTCCCATGCCGTTTCCGGGGTTTAAGTGGGGCCGATTTTGGTATAGATGTGTGGTTCCTCAGAGTCGTTCTACTAGAACTAGCAGTTAGCGCGATGGTAAGAATGGCTGTGAAACCGGTCATATTTCTTGTGGACTGTGGTATCGTGGAGGGTATGTTGTTGTGACACTGGACGATGTTAGGATTATGGTTCTGGAGTTTGACTAATATGCCAGTTTGGGAATGAGAGCAAGAAGCAGAAGATATTCAAGGGTCCGTTGTCCATTGTGGAGGCGAGCGGCCAAATTCATGAACTTAGGTTCATGGCGAGGGAGATACACAATGACTAGAGGTACCTTAGGTACGGAACGAAGACAATAACACAAATGGAAGGTGAGACAGAAAATTGAGATTCCGGAACGACCCAGAGATGACCGATCATCATCTTGTCCACTTAACCAAATGAAAGGAAGGAGCAAAGAGGTCACTCCATTGTTGCAGCCAATGGGACACTCGAGATTGCCAAAGAGTTCAGCTTCTCCTACAGAAAAGTTGCTCCCAAATCCCAGAAACAGAACTGATACAACTAAATCAAAACACCCGACTCTCGGTCTCAACGTCGGCAGAATTTCCAATATGCAAAGCGATGAGCATCTCACGGTCTCAAAGTCTCGAGGTAAGCCTGTTCTCACCGGGCGCATGATAATCGGGAACCTTCATCTGGAGTGCTTCACCCGAGTATCCCAAGTCTTCGGCAACCAGGACGGCTGCCTTCTCGCCGATGAGCAGAGCGGTAGAGTAACTGAAGAGTGCAAACGTAAGTAATAGTGTCGTTTTGACCAGACTTCGAACGGGACTGGCTAATACTTACGTGTTGCAGCCGACATTGTCGGGGCAGATACTCAGGTCCGCCACCTTCAAGCCCTTCACGCCGTGAACGTTGAGACGCTCGTCCAAGACGCCGTGCTTGACGATGCTGTTGCCTTCCCGAGGAGCCATGGAGCACGTCTACATCAACACAAAAGTCAGCAATCCGTTGTGCTGTACCCGTTTGCAATAGCCCAGAGACAACTTACGCCCAAGCAATGCCATGTCGTCTCAACATGACGCTTGACCCAGTCCTCAACCGCTTTGATGTCCTTGTCAGAGTACTTCAGTTCTTTTCTCTTGGCCTTGCGGTTGCTCGTCACATGCAGGGGGTTAGGCTTCTCATCCGCCGCTGGTACTGGGACTGTCCAGCTGCCGTGCTGGATTCCGGCCGTGATGTTGCCAGGCAGTGCGTACTTGTTAGTGTCCTCCAGATCGAGGTCATACGCTCGTGATGGAGAGTCAAAGTCGAAGACCGGATGCATATTTTGAACCTCACCAGCATAGGCATCCATTCTTCGAGCTGTTTCGCGCGACTTGATATAGCCCCACACCATCGGCACCATGTCGCGCTCATCGTTCATGAATCCAGCATCAAAGTCCGGTACTTCGTACGGGTCTGCCGACCTGATGTGTGTCGAACCGCGCGAGAAGGGATATTCCAGGAAGTGGAACATGGTGAAGAAGTTCCCAGGTGGCCTGTGAGACAGCTTCATGTCAGCAATGGGGCCCAGATTATCGGGTTATTGGCCAAAAGGTGCTTCTCACATGAGCATATGGTCACCGAACCAGCCGGAAATTATCGAGTAGTGCATCACGGGCTTATCCGGCTTGTTCTTGAAGTACGTCTCCCAGCCTGACTTAAAATGAGGAGTCGGCCACCTCTCAAACTCCCTCAGTTCTTTCTCAGTTGGTCGAATCTTCACGCCGGCCTCGATACCGTTTGTTGCGAGCGGCCCAGTGCCCTTGATGTTCCACTCGTCGAAGACGCCTGTACAAGTCAGCAGACCCTCAAAAATACCACATGTACTTGACCAGTTTGTGCTTACGCTTTTGCACCTCAGGGTCTCCACGGGCAAAGTCATCAAAGGTTTCCGTGCCGGGCTTTGCTCGGTACACGCTGAAGGTCAAATAATGATCCTGGAAGTTCAAACCCACGCCAGGAAGATCAACGATGGGCTTAACTCCAGCCTTTCGGAGCTTCTCAGCGTTACCTGCTCTTTGTTAGCTCGAGCTCTCTTATAGTAGTTCTTCAGCATCACTTGCCGATTCCGGAACGCTGGAGGATCAAAGGTGAGGACATCGTTCCACCAGAGACGACGATCTGCTTGCGAGCTCGAAAAATGCGTACTCCGCGATCCTAGTAAGTTTGTCCAAGTGAGCAAGGGCCATGGATCATCTGGATTCACGATAACTTACGTCGCCCATAGGCTTCGTTGGACTGTCCATGCGTTAGTTGACAACCACACAGGAGAGCGCACATCTCTGACTTACACAGTCTGTACACCAACTGCTCGGCCGTTCTCAATGATCACCTTATCGACCTTGGTATTGCAAGCCAAGTACAAGTTCGAGTGAACGGCTCGAGTGGCGTGGATATAGGCATGGGCACTGTCACTCCGGCGGCCAGTCTAAGTTTGTCTTGTTAGATTGGCACCCACCATCGGAGTGATGGACACTCACATCACGATTAATCCACTTCAACCACTGCTCAGCACCGTGTGCAGTTTTCAGATCTTGTAGGTCGTCCACTACGGGAATGCCTTGAGATGCAGCCGCCCTGAGGAAGTCATCCTTGATGGGATACGCACTATCATCTGTCAATTTCACAATCGCTATCACTTCGCTGTGGAACTTACTAGTTCCCAAAAGAGACCTTGATTGGGCCTTCAAAGCCGTGAATATCCCGGTTGTGAGATGCACGCTGGTACGTCTCATGCTTCTTCATGAGAGGAAGCAATTCCTTGGTTGTCCATCCCTTGGCTTGGAAGTCGTCATAGTCGGACGCGGAAGCTCGGGTGTACATCTGGCACGTGTTAGACCTGACTTGCTGAAAACAGAGAGATTACCAACATCCATACCATGAAGTTGATGGAAGATCCTCCACCGAGAATATGAGCTGCGGGCACAATAGCACCTCTGCCACCGAGCCACTTCGATGGCTTAGACTCATAGAATGTTGCAGTCTTTGAGTCCAGCTTCATGTTCCGGGGAAAGATACCGGGTCGGAACACCCAAGGATTGTTGAGATTGCTCTCACCAGCCTCAATGAGAAGCACCTTGAGGTTATGGTCAAGGTTGGCCAACCTATCGAGATGTTGATGAGCTTCAGAGGACGACAAGTGCGCTTTGAAGCCATTGAAACTCACCTGCCAGCAACCACACATCCACAACTTCCTCCTCCGCACACAATGATATCAAACTCCTCCGGTAAGGGAGACATCTTGGTATGTGTTCGGGTGTTTTCCAAGTTAGTACAGTTGAGTTCTTTCCAAGTGTCTTCCAAGACTCATTGTGGTACTTCGACTGATCCAACACTTGGAAATCCTTCAGCTCTTATACTCATCCGGCCCTAATAACCACCATCTACCGAATGACCCCCGCATTTACCTGCCTTCCCCCCTTAACTGACAATAGCTCGAAACCAACAATTCCTCAAGCAGCCGAGCTCTCTAACATTGGTCGACACGCTACATGTTGATGGTTCTGACCAATCTTCGAGGTTGGCCACCACACTGAACCAGACATCGAGCTCTTCATGTGTCCGTTTTCTCACGAGTCCTAACGAATACGGTCCACTCAATTCCCAACCGCTGCAATGCATCTTTGGGAACCCCTCATCAACTTACCCGGACGAGAAATGCATATCATAGCTAGGCTGTGCCAGGACGGCTCGATTAGGTTGAATGGGGACAGATGAGGGTTGATGATGGTGATGCCAAAGATTCATGGCCACTCTAGTGAGGACTCTGATTGGAGCCCGCATCCTTCGATACAAAGCTCAAAATACCAGGTTGTTTTCCTTTTTGAAGAACCCTGCTGTTTCTGGACAGAAGTTACCACCCCGTCCTCACAATAACCCAACATGCCCTTCCACTTTCTGAGCTTCAACCTGCAGATGGTCTCAAGAGAGAAGTACTCCTCATTAGACCGGCGTGAGCGGGGTTCGATATGGCACATACCTGACGCGGTTGATATTCTCAAAGGTGCATCGCCTCGTTCAGGTTCAAGATCTTCTTCGATGTCGTACAGTTCCTCGGCACTCATTAGTGACCGCCGGGAAGATATCAATATCAAGTAGACATCTATGGATCTTTAGCTTCGAAAGAGGTTTCAAAACCAATATTGGAGTACCTACATGAAGTGCTTCCCTCCTCTTTCACCGAGTGTGATCAATTTTCGGACTACCGGGACCATGCGTGGTGCGTCATTCTTCTTCCTCAATATGGTCTTCATTGGAAGGGACCAAAGAGGGGAAGATGTTGTCGCTTTCCAGTAGTTCTCACCTCGTGACACAGGAAAGCCACCAATGACAACACCGCACTTACATCGCAACGCATGCACCTTCGCGAAGACAGAGCCGCAGGAAACTATTACGGCTTCCCCAGAGAAGAGAGATTTAACAAGCCAAAAAACCTCCTCTTGGAAAGGTGATTATAGGAACAGAATAAGAAGAGGCCATGAAAGGATGAGCAGCTCAAATTTAAACCGTTGGGACAAAACGCTGCAGCAACATGTAACGGAATCTCTTTGACAACAAGGACGTTCGTTGGAATTGCTAAAAATGAAGCAGAAGGCCCCCGCAAGATGTTGTCTGGAACAATTCCAGACAAGCAAGCAAGCATGCCGTTCCGGACGGTCACCTATTCCCTTTCTCAGAAGTGCCCTGGGCTGCATCTTGTTGACGTCTCCGTCTCCGAATCTCCGACGTTACACGGCAGACGGTAAGAGGCATGGCAATGCACGTTGGTGTTAGGTATGATAGAGTGAACGCGGGGTCGACTAGTCGACATTCTCCACAACTAAATATCACCAAGGAAGGGACCCGAACCACACTCCCCTGCCTTGCCTTCTCCTCCCACCTGCGAACCAGACACCTTAGCCAAGGTGCGGAGTGGCTGGGCTGCGGGACGAACACCACACCACTTGAGGGGGGCACCCATTCATACCCGTGCTATACCCATTCATCAAACAATGACCGATATTCTTGGGCGGCCTTGGAATTACTTGGTTTCTTCAGAAAACGAATGTATGTATGCTGGACGGACATCGTTAGCTAGTTAGTTGTCAGTCAACCAGGTAGGAGGGGGAGCCTGTCACGCTCGCAACGAACCCGGGGCTCGTCAACGTTAACTCTTCTACCAATAGACAACTTCATAAAAGTCTGGGCAGTAACTGCGGGAACCTCAAGATGCGGGTGGGCATGGAGCCGAGGAGGGGGGACTGTCATCCGATGTCTGTCTGCTACATAGTGCTATGGGGAAAGACCGTGCCGGCCCGGCCGGGTGAGGAGGAAGGAGCGATCGATAGCAGGCACAGTACTAGGCACGGTAGGTACTTACTTACACATTAGTACAGTAATGTGCCCTGACAATGCAAGTAATCGGGGCAGGCCATTTCACTTGCAGTAAGGGGGCATTTGCACTTACTAGGCACACCATACAACGGATTTATGACGAGCCAAGACTATGAATAGCCTCGTAATAGGGGGTTTAGGGGTGCTAGAGGCTATCCGAACCCCTTCTTAATTGCAAATTTGTATGGGCGGGCCGGTCTGGCGGTCTTGCAATTTGCAGTTTGCAGTTATTATATGGTGAAATAATTCGGGCATGGCAAATGGCTTGCAATATAGGGGCTTTTGCAATAAGGGGGCCTTGCAGTATCAGGGCACATTACTGTAGTATCGTTCCTGCCGTCGTTCCTGCCATTGCAGTGGTAATAAGCCATTCCCAGGAGGTCAGTCCTGTGCAACTTGTTGCAATGTTGATAAACGAGGTCAGCCTTGTAAGAGTTTGTGTTGACGCCGTACGTAGTCTAGACAAGATGATAAATTGGCGTCGTTGAAGCCTTTTACTTCGAGATAGGTAGGTAGGTAGATAGGTAGGTAGGTAGGTAGGTAGGTAGGTTCCTTTAGGCCAAGACAAGATCCAAGACGCGGGGGACATGTATACTAAAGAGGAGTAAAGTTGACTGAGCTATGACGATAGGTACTACATTTACCTTTCCCTTTTTCTGGGAAAGTAAGGGCAAGAAGACGGGAAGGGGACAAAGAAATATCTTCGACGATTTCTCATCTATCTGTGTGCTATTTGTGCTATTGGTTTGGGGTACGTATCATCCATAATATCGCGCGAATGATTGCGGTTATACATCGAGGTCTACCTGTTTTGTGGTCGATTGCGGCGAGGACTGGAGTTTCTTCTGGATTAGATAGATAACCAACCCCCCATTCACGATTCTTATACTCCTCCGTCCCCACTACTTCAAGTCCCAAACTCGACGGTAGATACAAATTTCCAGGCAACAACAACATATGTCACGATGGGAACCAACTACTTCTCTCCTGCTTTAGGAAGACATGAAAAATAATCAATGTATTGAGCTATTCCCAGTAGTTATAGTAGCAATTTATACAAGCAGGCTGCCTATCTGCCTTGTGTATGTTATGTTCGTCCTTGCCAAACTTGAGAGGAGAGGAGATGAGGCGTGTGTGATACCCACTTCCCAGCATGCCCCCTAACTTTTGTTAATGGGAGGTTTAAGTTGTTGCTGTTTGTGTCTTTTCGTTTCGTTTCATCAAGTTTAAGGTATCGAGAAGACATGAAATAGAGACTTCCTGATATCATATTGTTAGCGATAAGCTGGCTAGAGCGATTTCTCTCTCTCTTCACTGCTGTCTTATGAGGATGATGATCGAGAAGTTATGTAGTTCGGACATCAAAAAAGTGTTGACCCCAGCCAAATTAGGGTCTTTTCTTCTCCTTCTTATGTTCCTGCATTTCCCGTCGATTGACGTTCTTTGTGTGAAATGAGTTATGCCTACGCAAAAAGACCAACATTCGAGTATGTAGTTGGGCTAAACTGTGGGAAAGACTGAAGTGTTGCAACGTGTAAGTGGAGATTCTCCAAGGATTACTGGCGCCACAGAGAGAGCGAGTTAGCTACTTATTGAGGGCGTTGTCCCTTCCGCACTCTTAACCTCCCTCTCTCTCCCCGTCGCCAAGGAATGTTCTATTAAACCTGTCGTCCCCACCTGGCAGACCCTCAACAAACACACAACAATCGACCGGGACTTTGGACAGACTTCTTCAGCTCACGGCATCGAGGCTTCAACCCTTAACGCCAACCTACTTGTTAGAGAGAGAAGCCGCCGGCCAGGGGGGTTTTCTATCTCTGACACGAGTCCCTACCATTTGCTCATCCATCACACTCTCCAATAACGTGTCGTTGTAACTCCATCATGGCGTTCGCTCTGGCAGCACACAATCACACGATGGGAACTGAAAAGACCAAGTTTTGAAACAAGAGTGAAACGGTTCGTCGTTCAATTTGTTCCAATGAAGCCACCCCCGCTAACAAGCAAAACAATAGTGAAACGGTCCGTCGTTCAGTTTGTTTCGATGAAGCCACCCCCGCTAACCACCATAAACGCCGGATAACCCAAGCTGCATACCCCATTTTGGCCCCTTCCGGTTTTTGCCAAATGCCCCTGGGTAGTAGTAGTAAAGATATATAGGTCATACAAGATTGTGTTTAAAAGAAAAAAAGAAAATGTCATCAATCAAGACATCCTGCGACGCTCTGTGTCGAGGTGAGTTTTGGGAAGGGCACAAGACCCAGCCTTCAACTTCCGCCTTGGTATTACCTTCAACTTGTATTGTTGTTGAAGTTTGTTATTATCAGTTGTGGTTGGTGTGTGTGTCCTCACTGACGGGACACCGGTTGACCCACAGAGTTTCGAGGAGGAGCCCCTGAGTTGTGCGCGGACTCTCATCTTCCGCTCTTCCACCCTCAGAGTCCAGATCAAGGTAAGCAAAACTTCCTTCGATGGCAACATTGCGCCCTTGGGCCAAAATGCCAGCAATCCAGTACTTGGCTGCGCTCGCTGCTCCTTTCTGTCAGCTGTCGCCATTGCCGAAGCGTCCTCTCCAGAAACCTGGGGTACCGTGCGCCCTTCTTCAGATACCACCCACCGCAATACCTCCATCGTCGCATCCATTAAAGGACGCGCCAAGATGGGGCTGCTGGTAAGGATCTTCCGAAGCGTTCGGATACGCAAGGTTGTGGAGTGACGCGTTCGCGGTTGCGCAGAGTTCAGATTGTTGCTGCGGCTGCTGCTCGTTGCTGTTTCGAATTTGGGATTCGGGGTTGATGAATTCGTCGAAGAAGTTCTCGTGGTTTGCCTGGAAGTGAAGGGCTTCGGTGTCGTCACCAGCCATACTATACTCATCAAAATTGCTGGGGCTGGGGGAAGAGAAAAATTCCGTTTCATGGATGTAGCGATCAGCATCAAAGGCCTTTGAAAAAGTGAAATCATCCACGAGATTGCTGACGCCGAGAGGAGGGCCAGAAAGAGAGAATCCATCGAAGGGGGCTGAGACTGCTGGGACACTACCAGACACTTGGAGCGTGGCACTTCCGCCGACCGACACTGCAGGTCACCACACAACACCGCAGCAGGATGTTGTGTCGCATCGGGGGAAGTGTTCACAGTCGCAGTGCAGGTAGTATCCGCAACAGGTTGAGCCGCCGTTGGTTGCTCGACGTCCTCCTCCTCCATCTCGGGGATAGGGGTCAAGGCTGGAGAGAGAGATGCTGGGTTGACGGTCTCTTCGGTCTTGATTGTAGGGAATAGTTGGTCGAGAGAGTTGTGATTCGGCACGTTGTGGCCATCTTGTGAGCTGAAGAGCTCTTGTGAGAAGGTGACTGGGGTGGGGTTGAGGCCATCGAAGGATCCCGGTCGTGTGGCAATTGTAGGAGCAACACCGTTTTCACGGAGTGCGGCAATGAGAGTCTGGTTGATCTGCTGAGCCTGCATGAGAAGGGCCTCAAGCTCCTTGTTGCGTTTCTCCAAACCCTCAACCTCGAGTCGCTTGCGCTCTCGTGACGATTGGGCAGCTCTACGGTTGCGTAAAACGCGTTCGACGCGACGTTGTTCCTTCTCGTCCTCGGTCTTGGCACGTTTCCTGCAAGGGGGTTAGTAAAGACTAGACCGGGGGTTGGAAGGACGTGGGTGAAATGCAACGTACCTCGGTGGAAGATTTGTCTTGGGCTCTGGAAGGACTTGACCCCACGACTTCCTCTTCTTGACAGGCTTCTTCTCGGTTTCTGGCGCCGGTGTCGAGCCAGGCGTCGAGCGTGGCGGGATCTGAGGAACTGTGAGAGAAGCAAGAGCCGTGAGGTCGGCATGGGCGTCGTCTGCCATGGAAGCCGGTGACATGATGTCAAGGGATGGGGTTGCTGATGTCGCCCGCTCGGAACCGAAGACTTCAGGGAAGATCTCGCCAGGCGTGGCTAGGAGAGACTCGACCGGGTTCTCGAACTTGAGGTTGGCCGGCGCGGCAGAGTGGGCAGCCCAGGAATCCATGATGGGTATCTGCGCCACGGTAGGAGGACTTGATGTGTGTATGTTGATGTTTGTTGATTAAAAGCCGTTGTGGTCACTGGTGTTGACGCAGGTGTTGATTGCAGAAAAACACTGGAATGTTTTGGCTGACAGTAGGTAAAGAGGTGCCGTCCTAATGCCCCAATACTAATACGTCAGAAGATGGAGTATTTGTTAGGCTTGCTGCATCGCGGGTAAGGTTGACTCCATCCACGTGTGAGTCAGTGGTAGGCACCAGGATAGTCCAGGACGCCAAAGAGGAGCCTAGGGGGAATGGTCGAGGATGGAAGCTGGTTGGTTGTGTGATGAAAAGGACAGGTGTTTTGTTTGAACAAACTGGGGGACGATGTCGAGTCTGGGCGAGGGGTGGGAGGCCAGGCTGCTTTTATCTTCTGGACACGGTTTCCAGAAAGGGGGTTTGTGCCTCAGGCAGCACGGCCTTTATTTGTGCTCTTTCGTCCAAGGCAGTAGAGGCAGCACGCAGCTGGCCCCCTTCCGTGGTCTGATTGGCCACACCGCCGCCCAGATTGACGAAACATTGCGGCGCCCCTCTTGGCTCTCGCATCGAGGCTCCAGATGCCAAAACAGGGAATCACCGAGAAGCACGCTAGTGGGGCGGCTCATGCCAGTCAGTGCTGGCAATGCGCAGTCAGGGGTAAGAACACGCAGAGCAGGGCCGAAGTTCCATCCTTCCCCCAGGCCCCTGAGAACCCCTCAAACCCCTCCGAACCTAGCGCGCCGGCCCTTCACTTGGGATTTTGACACAAGCACCCGGACTTCCACTTCCATTCTCCGGTCCTGCTGTTGATCATGCCCGGGGCCTCTTTCACGGGAGACGCGCAATCGCCGGGACGGGCATCGTAGCCCAAGGGACGCAGATTTCATGTCCCTCTCGCTTTCACCTGAAGCAGATCATCCGACGGTGGATGCGCCGAGGTGAGATACGGAAAGGACAAGCCACGATGGAGCCAGCTGCAAGAGCGGACCCCCGATAGGCACCTCTTTGACGAACCGCTGTTACTCATCACCAGATGCTGAACATAAGCAGTTCCAACAATCACATCGACAAAACCCGCATGCATGTCATTGCTGGGTGTTGATAGGAACCAGCTAGCAATGCATCAAATAGTGCAGACCCGACAAGCATTTTTCGCCATCTGATCGCCCGACCTCTTGTTCAACACTCGGACGATTTTGGGGAATTGGAATGTTCTGGCGATTGCTTGTATTCATCCCTGTTGAAGCCCCAATTCTGACGTGCCAAGGGATAGCCTACAAGAACGCTTTGAGTCTCGTATGTAGTCGACCAGATAGGACAACAGTATCGAGATAATCCAAGGGAACGTCAATCATCAAAGGCCCACGGCAATTTAACGCTAGAACCGCCTCTTTCGTCCACAACGCCGCAGCTTCCGTGATGCTCCAGGGCACCGTTTGGTAATGGACTGCTGGGTCTAGCGGTTAGAATTTCTGTGACTTTTAGATAGTTCAGAGTGGAGGTCGCTAGTCGTTGTACCACATTGATGGCCCACTTTCTGATTTTATGCTTTTCTGGCTTAGTTGACTGGGTCTTGGGCTCACCGCTTTTGCTCTGGATACGTGATAAATTGTAGTGCTTTTATTGTTTGGGATATATGGCTATTTTACTTGTCAAATTCATGATATAAACAACAATAATGAAAATATTCTAGTCAAAGAGGTTATTAGTCTATCTTCAATTGAGGATTTTAACCAGGAACTTTTTATTTGTAATTACTTTTATACTTCGATTGCTAATAATGACAAAACAGCTGTTAATGATAGGTAGTTTCCTTAATAACTATTTATTTAACTATTTTTCTAATTATTATGTATTTAGTTAATTTTAATTATTATTCTACTTTAGAGTTTTCTTTAGAGTAGTATCCCTTAGTTAATCCTAATTACTATTAATTTTCCTCTTTT